TATACAATATGGACCTTAACGCATTTGCATTATAGTGTTTCGAAAGATAAATGATTGACGTCAATATTTTTATTTCCAAATGCAGATTTTTTTAAACAATGGCAAATATCTTGTCTTAATAATGTGCTGAATAGTTTGCTTTTTTATTGGCATTGTGAAGAATTTTACACATATAAGCAACATGTAACATATTTTTTGGAAAGAATGTCATTACCTGAAGGTGATATGGCTGAGTTGGTAAATTATTTCCTTTCATTACGTGTAAATGCACACACTTAACAATGAATACGATTTCTCCCACAGAAGTCTCCAAGTAGCAATCGAATTACATCGAACTTAAAAAATATATGAAATTGTAAACATTCATACAATTTTGTATGATATAACTATGTTAAAATATTGAATACAAGTGATAGCGACACAAGAAAATGTCCGTTTGGCAGCAACAAATCAGTAATGAACAGATTATGACGTCCAAAAGATGAATTCTTTATAATTAAAAAAATAAACATTTATCAATAGAGTTTTGCAGTTTTATTATATTTGTACCAATTATTGTTACTTATCCGTAAAAAAAACACCTTAATCAATACAAAATATTGATTCGGTTATAATAATAGCTACATAATTACAAGGCTAATTACGTGGGTTGCATACACTACTTTATGTATGGCAGTTTTTTTTTCAATTTGTATTGTTTCTTGTCTTCATAAAAACTTTAAAAAATAATTCCCTCTTATACGGAGCCTTATTTCAATTTAATTCAATAATAAGAGCAATTGTATTTTCTTATGCAATTGTAGCTGAAAAAGATTTCAAATTTTTAATGTTTTTAACCGAAGGAAATACAACACGTAGGCTATAAATCTTCACATTGAGGTCGGGTAAGAAATACAATACACGGACTGGGGATATATCACAGCAATATTATTACTGTATTGTGTACATTTGAGGTAACTTGGAAAATGCCTTTAGTATATCTTTAAGCCTATATTATTCTATTTTAAAGGGTTTTAGTAAAAGTGTCAGATTGTTACACTATTTTTAAACTACTTCTAATTAGTTAACGTATTTATTCTGTTTACGATACCAGTAAGCTTTATAATTTAAAAGAAATGCATTATGTTACTTTTAGAAAATACCATAGCTTTCTGGTTTTTAGTTTCTTATGACTAGGAATTTGCAAATCATACCCGTGCAATCAAGGCTTTTCCACACTCTTGAGCAATATGTAGAAAATTACAGAGGGTATACTCAGTATAATGTAAAGACGAAAACCCATTATATTCTTAAATTTACAGTTCAATGAAAATTTGTTATTTCATGTTAATCTATAGTGTGTGCTGCAAGAAAATAAATAATCGTTTGCCAGTTTATAAACGTAACGTAACGTAATATTCCGTTATTTTTCACTTTAAATTGTAATTTTAATTTTTTTAACGGTGACTTTGTTTTACTTAAGTTTACTTTATTTTTTAACTCAACCCATTTAGTTTACAAAAAGATTTGAACTTTGATCAATAATTTAAATGTAGTTATGATAAGTAATCATTTAATGTTGGGTGTGTTCAATAATTTAGAATATATTTTTAAGTTTTTGTAGTGAAATAATAGAAAAGAAATAGTTTTCATATTAATGGACGGAGTGTAGGCCTACTCATTAAAATGTATGCTATTATAATGTCATAAGTCATAAGTTCTTTATTCCGAAATAACAAATAATACATTGTATTGGAAAAGTCATTACAATAAACAATAAAAAAACTCAAAAATTCTTATCAAGGTAAGTAATATGTACAAAGACTAAACAATTTGAGTTTTGGTAAATCAATCTGACAGGGATGACTGACTACATGTCAGCTGAGAAATCGCGGACGCTATAGCAAGCCTTTTCAACTAATATGATTTTTAGTTTGTTTCTAAACTTAAGTAAATCAGTCTGTAGCTTTAGCTGTTGGTGAAGTTGGTTAAACAGTTTTATGCCATTATACAAAATATGTTTTTGAAAAAATGAGGTTGAATGGACAGGGATTTTCAGGTTGTGAGATGTGCGTAAGGAGTATGTACTGCAGTTAGTGCTGGTGTTAAATATTGACTGATGTTTTTTTGTTACAAAGGAAAGAGTTTCAGAGCATGTATAGTGAGGAAAGAGTCAAAATAGCAGCTGACCTAAATGATTCCTTACAAGATCGTCTTTTGAAAAGTGAAAATATGACAAGAATGATGTTTTTTTTGCATTTTAAAAAGGAAGGAGGTTTGTTTGTTGTCAGATCCCCAAACAGGTAGAGCATAAACTAGATAAGGTAATATTGAGCCATAGTACACAGAAAGAAGAGTATAGTAATACGATTTACTCAATATTTAAAAACTATTATTTATTATTTATTATTTTTCATTATTTATCATTATTATTTATTTATATTTATTATTTTAATATTATCATTACTGCCTAAATAAAGGTTTAGCTTGAAAAAGGAAGATGAGGTAGAAATGGATGTTTCCAACCCCTGTTATGCACAGCCCGTAAATTGTATTATATCAGAAGTGTCAGAGTCGGTTCAACAACTGTGATCCTCTCACATTTTAAAACTATTTATAAACCGTATCTAATATGTATCATAAATGTTCAAGTTATAAATTAAGATCACTAACCACACTTCAATGTTGGTTATATTATTATACACAACGTCAGCGTATATTATTATTATCCAACAGTTGGTTGTGTTTTAGTGAGCTCAAGTTAAATATTATAAACGCACTTTTCTAAAGAAGTTTTTTCATCAAAGTTCGTTTCGCTTTTTTGCATGATTTCATATTGTATTGGAATTACAAAGTTAAGCTCAGGAGTTGATTAAGAAAATTACAAGTCAGTGAGAAGTTAATGATTATCACGTAAACACTAATAGTTTTCAACTTAACTCAAGCAATAGAAAATTAATTGTAAAATAATTAAAATATATCACGAATTTTGAAGTCAAGAAGTGCTATTAAAATTTAACAGCATGATTCTAAGACGCATTGATATAAGATAACCAATAGAAATAAGACAAACCTCTATATAAACTACTAAACTTTGTATGCTATACTACTGTAGTACTGTTAAACATGTTATACCTAATACAGCATAAGTTACTATTTCTTCCGTTGAACCACGTGTATTTGAAGTAGCGTCAGCTGTCTATGATGTATGTCTTTGATCCATGATATCAGGGGTCATAACATTCTGGTTTTAGGTTACTGATAACGATGATGCATAGCTATTCGCTATCAAAAGGAAATAGCAAACAAAATTTACTAACAATGACACTTTTCCCCGTGGGCTAGTATTGAATAATATACGCAGAATTATACCTTAAAGCAGATGTTAAATTTTCCCTATTGAAATGCATGTTTTGTTTATTTGTTTACACAGGGATAAAATTAAATACAGGTCAGGAAATTAAATGACCAGTTTTGAAACGTACCTACCCATAGCATTTGTTGGTCTAATGTTACAGTATTGGATTGTAAGATAAATATACCTGATTTATAAGTCTTCCGTTTGTGTCCAACCTCAGTAATAGCTTAGTTTTAATAGTGGTAAAAGGTTAAATGCTGCTGCTTTAGTAGTTATACCCTAATTCACTACCTTAAATGACACAATCAAATACTTTGCTTGCTTTTATAGTTTGACTGTTTAGTTAATGATTTTATTTTTACTTATTTCCCCAGTAGTATCTGTGTTATTTCTTAATATCGTTCTTTGGGTTCGTTTTAGTTAACTATATGAACCCAATTCGGGAATTCTAAAGTCCACATGTGTTGCTTCCGACTTCTTTTATATGGCTTCTAGTGCTAGAGGTTGTACTATTTTTAAAGTACCCTTTTTATATCGTAGTTATACTGCTATCACCAGAGATGTTTAGAGATTCCCATAGTTGCGTCTTAGGTTCCAAGTTTGAATAACACACAGCAGAAAATGAGACAATATTGAATAATTATAGTTAAACAATATTATAGGTTGTTATAGGCCTTTTCCAATAGGTTATCTAAAAACTTGTCATGAAATTAGGTTACTTAATTAAATTAATTGGTAATTATAATTTATTTTGACATAACTAGCTCTCCATTTTTGGACGAATGGAAAAATAATACCTATGGAAAAGGAACATTAAATTTGAAAAGAAACGTAAAAACGCCGTGGTTGAAATAGTATATTCCAGCACTAGGGCGTAAAAAGGCTCTTTTCGGCCCGATCTGTGTTTCAGGAAAATGAGTGAAGGTTGAAAAGACGCTTTTTGCCCGTGTGATAAACTATATTTTTCTTCATAATATCATTGCAAAAATATTCAACAAGCTATGTTAGAAAACAAAAATACTGTTCATGTAAAGACAGCCTGACGCGAAATTTGGATTGAGGATTGAGTTATGTCTTGTCCAATAAGTGGTTTAAATTGTGGAAGCGTGTATATAAATTTAGTTGAGTAAAGTTTAGTAGTTTAGTTTCAAGATTCTTTGGTAATTACCAAATATAAGTTAGGAATGTGATTAGTTCGATGGATTGAATTTAGTTTAAGTTACAAGAAAAAAGAACACTTATTTCATCCAGTTTAGTTTTCATTCCCAAAGGTAGTTTATTTACAATCACCAACAAAAATATCATCTGTGTTATAAAGCATATGAAAATAAAAACATTTGTTATGTACAGTCTCATGGCTTAGCCACACTCCCACGGAACATAAAGACAATTTTTAAGTCTTACTTTTATGCGCAAGAGTTTCATCTGTTTAAGCTTTACTTTTCTTCTCAGCATTTTTTTCGTTAGTGTTCTTAGAAATGAAGTTTGAGTTTGGCAATTCATGCTTTTCAAAGGGGTGATAACCTTTGTGCTCTCTTTGTTGTTCTTTAGCTCCAAACCAGTGGTTTGGCTTGGAGCTTCAATGTTCTTGTGATGCGACACAGTAGTTTGGCTTGTAGCTTCAAAGTTTTTGGGATGCGACACAGTTATTTGGCTTGGAGCTTCAATGTTTTTGGGCTGTGACACAGTAGTTTGGCTTTGGAGCTTCAAGGTTCTTGGGATGCGACACAGTAGTTTGGCTTGGAGCTTCAATGTTCTTGTGATGCGACACAGTAGTTTGGCTTGGAGCTTCAAAGTTTTTGGGCTGCGACACAGTAGTTTGGCTTGGAGCTTCAAATTTTGTGGGCTGCGACACAGTAGTTTGGCTAGAAGCTTCAAAGTTTGTGGGCTGCGACACAGTAGTTTGGCTAGAAGCATCAAAGTTTGTGGGCTGTGACACAGTAGTTTGGCTTGGAACTTCAAAGTTTGTGGGCTGCGACACAGTAGTTTGGCTAGAAGCTTCAAAGTTTGTGGGCTGCGACACAGTAGTTTGGCTTGGAGCTTCAAAGTCTGTGGGCTGCGACACAGTAGTTTGGCTTGGAGCTTCAAAGTTTGTGGGCTGCGACACAGTAGTTTGGCTTGGAGCTTCAAAGTTTGTGGGCTGCGACACAGTAGTTTGGATAGAAGCTTCAAAGTTTGTGGGCTGCGACACAGTAGTTTGGCTTGGAGCTTCAAAGTTTGTGGGCTGCGACACAGTAGTTTGGCTAGAAGCTTCAAAGTTTGTGGGCTGCGACACAGTAGTTTGGCTAGAAGCTTCAAAGTTTGTGGGCTGTGACAGAGTATTTTGGCTTGGAGCTTCAAAGTTTGTGGACTGAATTGATTCAGTTCCTTTCTGAAGAGTTTCCTGCTCCGAAAACGCAATGTTCACCTTAAGTCTCTCGCTGATTTCATCGAAGTCTAGCATCAGGAAAATGTTGTCTTCAGTTACCTTTTCGTTTTCATCTTTTTCTTCATTAGGCAAATCACGTAGGTCCATTATTGATTTCGTCATCTCCTCAACTCGTCTCGCATAAGTTGAAAGTACATTTCAGGTCATTACTAGTCTCTTTGAAGAAATGGTAGTCTCATCGGCAGCTATCAAGTCGTTGGCTTCGGCTATTGCAGTCTTCAATCTTTTACTTGCCTCGATGTAGTTCTTTCGTAGCCGTTGAGAAGACATTTCTGAGTTTGTACTTTACCCTTGAGGATCTCCAACCACGGAAAAAATTCGTTAACGCTCTGCTACCATGACGCGAAATTTGGATTGAGGATTGAGTTATGTCTTGTCCAATAAGTGGTTTTAATTGTGGAAGCGTGTATATAAATTTATTTGAGTAAAGTTTAGTAGTTTAGTTTCAAGATTCTTTGGTAATTACCAAATATAAGTTAGGAATGTGATTAGTTTTATGGATTGAATTTAGTTTAAGTTACAAGAAAAAAGAACACTTATTTCATCCAGTTTAGTTTTCATTCCCAAAGGTAGTTTATTTACAATCACCAACAAAAATATCATCTGTGTTATAAAGCATATGAAAATAAAAACATTTGTTATGTACAGTCTCATGGCTTATTCACACAGCCTCTCAAAAAAACTTTCAACTTGTAACTAATTTTGCCAAAGAGCAACTGTTTGGTAAGTGATTCAGTAATTACGTCTATTACGAATGAAATTTCTTTAAAATCATGCCACGTTTGTAAATATCGCTTTTAACAATCTCACGGATCGAAATTATTTATCGATTGATATATTAGGTAAGGTTTTAGCTTATTGACGCATTCCTGTTAATAGTTCGACACATCGATGGTATAGTGTACTGTAACACAATCGTAAAAGACAAAATGATTGAATCACTTACAACAGAGCTGTTTATTTAGATTAGCAATTAAAGACAAGCTAGCAATTAAAAACTATAAAAAACTGTGTACTTGTAAAAAAAATCTTACTACGATAAAATTATATCAGATCTAAATGATAGCAAAAGTGATAGCAAGTCATTCTGGCGGGCCATTAACACCTTCAAAAGGAAAAATGACAATATTGTGGGAGATATATCTGCAACTAATTGGTTAAATCATTTTAAGAATTTATTGAATCCACCACTTTTGACAGGGTCGATAAGTTATGCAGAACCGCTAATAGATAACGACCAGCTAGATAATCCTTTCACTTTCGGTGAACTGAGGAATGTTTTGAAATCAGTGAAATCCGATAAAGTCCCTGGACCAGACAGAATACCTTATGAATTTTTCAAAAATGCCTCAGATGAATTTTTAAATATATTACTAATGGTACACAATAACATTTTTATTAGTGAAACAGTACCAAAAACATTTAAAGAATCGTTTATTTTTCCTTTAAACAAAAAAGGCGATGTTAATTTAGCTGATAATTACCGAGGTTTGTCTTTTATTAATAGCATTACGAAAATATTCACGAGCCTTATAAATATTAGATTACAAACGTGGATGTGCGAGAATGAAGTACTAACAGAATTTCAGGCAGGTTTCAGAAGAGGATACGCCACCATCGATAACATATTTAATCTGACATGTATAATTAATTTACGTCTATTGCAAAAGGGACAAAAGCTTTATGCATTCTTTGTAGATTTTAGCTCGGCTTTCGACACAATTGATCGGAGAGCATTGCTTTTCAAATTGGCAAATTTAGGTGTCTCCACGCGAATGCGGAATGTTTTAAAGAGTTATTACAGTGAAACAAGTTCTAGTGTGTGGTGCGGAGGCGGAATAACCAGTTATTTTCAAACTAATACAGGTTTAAGACAAGGATGTAATCTGTCACCGACTTTATTCAGCCTATTTATAAATGATCTGCCAGAAGTGGTGGAAGGGGGGTGTAACGTCAATGGGGTTAAAATAAATGTGCTACTTTATACAGACGATATTATTCTCCTTTCCCCAACGAGCACTGGGCTGCAGCATATGATTAAAAAATTGGAAAACTATTGTGACACTTGCAATCTAACTGTCAATCTAAATAAATCTAAGATAATGGTGTTCAGAAAGGGTGGAAGACTAAAGGCAGGTGATAAGTGGAGGTATAAAGGGAACGTTATCGAGGTGGTAAATCAGTATAAGTATTTAGGGGTTACATTTACAAGAAACCTATCATGGAACAGCCATTTTAAGGAAAAAGCCAGAGTAGGAAAATTTGTTATCAATTCTGTATGGAATTCTTTATTTAAAAACAATAAAGTGCCAATGATTTCCAAAATATCGTGTTTCGAGGCTGTTGTGCGATCTACAATCTGTTATGGAGCACAGACCTGGGGTTTCATAGAAAGTGAAATAATAGAATCAGTACAAACTTTTTTTCTAAAAAGAATATTTGCATTGCCTTATAATACGCCAAAATATGTATTGTACCTTAAAACATACTTCAATAAACTTTATTTTTACACTATACATTTAAATACTAACTATATTTTGAGATGTTTAACTTTGCCACCCAAACGATTGCCGAACTTTTTAGCAAAACAAATAATCGAGAAAAAAACATCTTGGTGTAGAGAATGGGAGTATTTGGGACAAAAATGCAATATTGAGTTTAGTTTCCAAGATCTCGATCCAGAGGGGTTGGGCCTCCAGCTGAGGATGGTGGCGGAAGTGTTGCGTGTCCCCAGTGCATAATGCATGATAGGAAGTGCATGATGCCCCCAGTACACTCTCGCCGAGGCAAGGCGAGCGTTGGCGAGTGCGAGAGTGTAATCGGTGCGCTCGTCTTCTCTCGCCTCGACTCGGATCGCCTCGCCTCGCCTAGCTTCGTGCTCGCCGGCGCTCCATCTGGAGTCGGTTTTTTGGCACGAGTCAAAGGACCCGAGACTGCACGAGTGGCGAGCGCTAATTCCACATCGATGTTTGCTTCCATTTCGACTGCGAGACAAAGCGAGAGTGTACACGGTTACCTCGCATAAGCTCTCGCCCGAATTACTCGGCGAACGCTTCGGCGAGGCGCCTCGGCGAGCGTCTCGGCGAGAGTGTACTGGGGGCAGGTGGAGGGAGGAGTGTGTAGGCCGAGCGCGGACCTCTGTCCACCACAGGCAATTACTGACGCTCGACCTTGAACTTGGCGATAGGAGCCCAATAATGCTCAACAATACGCATATCGCTTCTTGGGCTATTAAAGCTAGAGCAGAACTGATAAATCTAAACTACAAGCCGTGGTCTGAACAAAATTATCTTTGCACTCTCTGTAATCTTCAACAAAATGAAACTGCATATCATTTCATTGCAATTTGTCCTATTTTAAAACATATCAGACGTCTTTAGATTGGAAAAAATACTTTAAACGAAACAGAATATGAGTGTTTTTTAAATGGGCGGAATTGGCGAGCTTTAGCCCAGTATTTAAGTAAGGCATGGAAATATAGGTGGGACATAATTAATGAATTCAATTTATAGCTATAGTTATTTGTGCAACTAGTGAGAAAAGTGAGCAATTGACTCACTCGAGAGAAATCCTTACTCACGAGCCGTAGGCGAGTGAGGAATGGTTTCCCGAGTGAGGCAATTGTACTTTGAACTCGAGTTGCACATTATACTTTTCCAACAGTTACCATAAAACAAATAAATTGGTGAAGAAACATAACCTATTTTTACACAGCTGTGAACTTTTAATATAACATTTAATGTGAAGTGATAAATACAACAGTACAACAGCTGACCAGCTGATTTACAGCCAGTGCTGCCAACACATTTCGCGCGCATACGACGTTGCCTGCATGTTACGCGCTCACTATTTCGTGCCTTCACGTTGCAAATCTGAAGTGAGACAATGTTAACATTGTCTCACTGATGAGCGAATTGGCCACTTTGCTTTCTCAAATCAGTGAGAGAACATGTACATTGTTAGGTAACTGTAGGAAAAAATTTATTTCTTTCTTTATTCCTCTTAAATTATAATTAAAAATCATGAGACTCGCTTGGAACCACATTTTTAAACGAATTAATGTTGCTTTTATTTTAGGATTTTTACTAGCTGTATTACATAAATTTAAAAATAATTATAAATGTACTTTTTTATATAAGTATACCTAGTTAAATAGTTACATGTTACAGTTTTAAAATATGTTATTTTACAGCAATGTGCCAACCAAACAGACGGTTTAAATAAACCATTGTTTTGTGTGTTTTGTTTTTTATTGTATAAGATGTAAATAAGTTGTGAAGAATATAGCACTTTTTTCTTTCTTCTTTCTTCTTTCTTCTTTCTTTCTTTCTTTCTTTCTTTCTAAAGACAAGCTAGAAGTGTTTTGAGAGGCTATCTTTAGAAAAGAATTTCGTTTCATGGCTTAGTTTGTTAATTAATGATGCAATACGACGAAAAATATAGTTTATAAAACGGGGAAAAAGTGTCTTTTCAACCCTAGCCCATTTTCTGACCTCGGCTTCGCCTCAATCGTAAACCTTGAGCTCGGGTCGAAAAGTGGCACTTTAGACCCTAGTGATGAAAAGTTACTCTGTGGAGTAAAAAAGCTACTTTAGACTTGCAACGATTTTTTAAAAAACCTTTGGTTTTGCTGCAGTATGACTTAATTACTTATACAGGGTGTCCCGGAACTCTCTACCAATATTTTAGGGCATTGCTCCTGGGTAAGAAACATACCTAAATATCATATTTAAATTGTCTGGAAGTCCTTAGTTACTCACACAGCCGCCATTTTGTATTTTTAAGTTATTAATCTTTTTCTAAGGAATGGTTAAACATACGAAATTGAAACTTTGCACAAACATTTATGACAACAAGACAAAGCTACCAAAAAATTATGACGATTTTTAAAATTCATAAAACAAAATGGCGGCCATTTTAAATTTTGTTTCTTAAATAACTCGAAAACCGTTGATTTAACAAAAATTTTACAAGAATAACTTTTTTAAGGCAGTTTTATTACAAATCGATTGACACCTTAATTTTGAAGATTGGACAAGTATAAACTGAGATATGGTAGTTTTAGTGATACGTAACCGCTGGAGGTT